GGAAACTGCCATTAGAAACCAGTCACCGTGTTTGAAAGCATGACTGTAATTGTGTTTTTTCCCTTTTTTATTTAAATTAGAAACAAGCTTGTTTTACCTGACAATACCAGTTCCCTCTCCCTCCCCTCCTCCCCTGTCCCCCACTGACCCCCTATCCCATCCCTTTTCTGCTCCCCAGGAAGGGTGAGGCCTTCCATGGGGGATCTTCAAAGTCTGTCATATCATATGGAGCAGGGTTTAGACCCTCCCCCATGTGTCTAGGCTGAGAGAGTATCCCTCTATGTGGAGTGGGCTCCCAAAGTCCATTCGTGTACTAGGGATAAATACTGATCCACTACCAGAGGCCCCATAGATTAACCAGACCTCCAAACTGACATCCTCATTCAGGGAGTCTGGAACCGTCCTACGCTGGTTTCCAAGCTATCAGTTTTGGGTCCATGTGCTCCCCCTTGTTCAGGTCAGCTGTTTCTGTAGGTTTCTCCAGCCTGGTCTTGACCCCTTTGCTCATCACTCCTCTCTCTCTCTGCAACTGGATTACAGAGGTCAGCTCAGTGTTTAGCTGTGGGTGTCTGCTTCTGCTTCCATCAGCTACTGGATGAAGGCTCTAGGATGGCATGTAAGGTAGTCATCAATCTCATTATTGGAGAAGGGTATTTAAGGTAGCCTCTCGACTATTGCTTAGATTGTTAGTTGGGGCCAACCTTGTAGATTTTTAAGTGCATGGAAGGTGGGACAGTGTGCTTTAATTAAACAGACATCACAGCAGTGGTCCTGGCAGATGGGGAAGTTACTCCTGCCATGAGAGGTGCTAATTCAAACTCTGACAAGACAATGAGCCCAAAGAGCAATTTCGTTGAAATAGAATTTTAAAATAAAAACCATTCCCAGGGCTTTGAACCAACATGTGTGTTTATGCCAGTAACTTGCACAATCATAGAGCACCCTAGAGCTCTATAAACCCTAAAGAAAATCAGTTGGGGCTGGAGATCTGGGTGAGCAATAAAGAACGATTGCTGATCTTGCAGAAGATCCGAATCTAGTGCCCAGGACTCACAGCTGTCACTCTTGCTCCTGGGGATCTGACATCCTTTTCTGGCCTCCTAAGGCACCTGCACACAGAACACACAAGTGCGCACGCGCACGCACGCACGCACGCACACACACACACACACACACACACACACACACATAAAATCTCTTAGGAAAAGAACATAAGCCTTTCTGTTATCCATGGTTTGCACTAAATTTAAAAGGCTATCAAGTCACCCCTCAGATGGGATGCTGGCCTACAGTGTGGCTTTAACACCATCAGTAATGCTGTTTGTAAAAGGAAAAGGAAATTCAAAAGCAAAATCCAAGCACTGTTTCTTGGGAGTGGAGAACCTCTCATCAGAACTGACGCCACATAGCACAGATCCCAGGAACAGGCGGACCAGGATGGAAACAGTACATTGCAACTTCACAAATGAAGGTCGGCACTGAGCATGTCCAGTCCTAAGAATCAGTGTCAAATGCCATCAGCTGCTCAGCTTGCAGAGGTGTGATGGCTCTTAGGTCAGCTTCCTTTGCTGCACAGGCTCTACAGTCTAAAAGAAACCCCAAATGGCTTCACCAACACTCACCATGCAGCTGCACCATCAGACCAGACCCTTCGTGAAGGTTGAGTGTAAGAAGCTGACACACTGGTCCTATGTAAAACAAAACAAAACAAACAAAAGACAAACATCTATCTTCAGTCACCTTGATCTGCCAGGCACGCTGGCCATGTGACTTGCCAAATCTGCTCATGTTGCAGGGGGAGGTGCACTTCATCAATTATGAAGGAAGATGCAGGCCTTGGGAATGTGCTGAGTTCCTGCAGAAATCCCAGCATTCAATGATTTAAGCTCTAACAACACTTGACTTTACTTAACACGAAGTCTGGGAGTGTGTGGTGGTAAGGTCGAGTCAAAAGCTCAAGGAAGTTCAGACTCTCACTCTGGGCTCTTCCAACTCATTATGACAGAATGACTGCCTGCAACACACTATACCTCCATACCATAGCAGCCAAAGGCAGGCTTCAGGGCTGTCCAGGGACCCGGGGGACACTGTTTCTTCAACAAGGTAGAAAATTCCCAAGTTCCTTCCACACGGCCTTCACACAGATGCCCGCTTGGATCAGGAATGCCGCTAGCTGAGAGGATTTGGAAAGGGGGTAATTTTCCTCATTCTCCCTGAGTGAAGGCTGAGTGAGAAAGAAGGCAGCATGTGGGAGATGAGTACCCAAGAACAGACCAGCTGCGAGATGCCATGGGGACCCCCTTCTTGCCGCTGAAGAGCTGCTGGGAGGAGACAGAATGAGGTGTACCTGCTGGCTGGCCTTCGGAGGACTCTGGAGCAGTCACCTCAAGCATGACTCAGCAAAATGTGGGAGGCAGAGGCATGATGCACACCCTCAGCTCTTTGACCCAGGACTGTGGCCCAAAGAGGCTGCTTAGATTATCCCCGTCTGAGGTGTGTGGGGTCCTACCAAAGGTGGTTCATCTCTCGCCAGCAGCAGAGCCTGTGGTAGCTTGAATGAGCGTGTCCCCATTTGGGGCATTTGAACACCTGGTCCCTAGTTGGCGTCAGTCTTTGGGGAGGTCTAGGAGGTGGCTGCAGCTTTGCTGGAGGAGGCGTATCACTCGAAATGAAAAGCCTCGTGCTACCTCCGGCTTGTCCGCTCTGTCTCGTGCCTGTTTGAAAAAACGGGAGCTCCCGACGCCACACCTGCGTCTTGCCATCACGCTTCCCTGCCGTGATAGACTCATCTCGTTGGAAATGTAAGCCCAATGCGCTCTTCCTTCTATAAACTGCCTTGGTAGGACAGCAATAAAAAAAAGTCATTGTCAACTTGACCGGATTTAGAATCGCCATGAAAACAAATCTCCGGGCATGCCCACGAAGAAGTTTCTAAATTAGGTTCACCAACGTGGGAAGACCCGCCGTAACCGGAAGACAGCGTTCTCAGGGCGCGCCCTACACTGAATAGAGAGGAGAAAGCTGGGTGAGCAGCAGCAGGAAGCTTTCTCTCTGCTTCCTGACTGCAGATGCAATGTGACCCCTGAGCTCGCGCCACCCTGCCTTTCCCACCGTGATGGACTGCGAGCCCAAATGAAGCTCTCCTTCCTTAAGTGGCTTCTGTCAGGTATTTTCTTACAGCAACAAGATAACTAATGCAGACTGGATGGATTAGGTAGTCCCCAGACACCGGAGAGGTGAGGAGCACCCCTCTGATCCCAACAGCACATGCATGACACAGAACATGCGATTGCAGAGCATGGGTGCCGTCAGCTGCCCGTATCCGTGAGCTCTGATTCGGAATATTGTCATCATTTCCCAAAAGATATGGTAACACTGCCACTTAGAACTGGGTTTCCACTGTTGCTGGTGTTTTGAGTAACCGGATATTCCAGCCACGTAAGCGGACAATGTCGGTCTTGTGCCGGTTGCCACACCATTCCACCTAAGCGTATTGTGAGTTCACAGAGTTTGTTGTCCTTGGAAGCTCCTAGAGCTCGTCTCCCAGAGACACTGAAGGATGACTGTGTGCCCTTGTTATAGGAGACAGACTCCTTCTGTCCCAAGTTCTTCTGGTTGCTCTCACTCCTCTCCTCCTCATCCTGATGTCTGACTAACGTAAAGAGAGAGGTGGCCCAGGGCTCCGTCCTCCCTTCGTCTCCCCCTGGGAGCCATAAACACCTAGGAGTCCTGTGGGAGGAGGGATCTGGATGCCCCCAGACTGGTTAGCTGTGCTCCCCAGAGTGGGCTGACGGCCTCCAAGAGGCCCTTTTCCTTACCCCATGAAAGCTCTTAGAGCTAGTGTCACCTGTGATCGCCCTCAACGAGACTGCCCGTCTGTCACGGCCGTACCAGGCTGGAAATGGCACTGGCTGCTCCAGGTGACCCTGAGTCCCTTTATCTGGGCTGTGTCTGAGCTAAGGTGAGGAAGGGGCTTCCAGCCAGCCTCTGGGTCTCTTGGCTCTTAATCTGTTTTCCAGTTCGTTTGTTTGCTGGGGGCTGGTTTGACACAGGACCACATGACCACACCATCTTTTTATTAACTCATTCAGTCATGTGACTGCGGGCTCACATCCTAAGGCAGTTTCCATCGAGGGGTAGGAAAAGCATTAGCGTGGCTGCCCTAGCAGGGGTGAAGATGTTGCAAAGAGGCCGCTGTGCCCCTTCATTTGGTTACCAGATTGAGGCATACACCCACAAGAAATTAGAATTCTCCCAGGAACCTCATGTGGGGGAAGGAAAGGCTGAAGCCTGGCGCTAGCCAAGGGGGGAGCTTGTCTCCTTGGAAGAGATTTACAACCTGTCAGACCTCCTTGCCTGAGAAACTGGAGACCAGACTAGGTTGTGGATGGAACCACACTTTGACCATATTGCTTAGCTATGTATAATTCTTACCCAAATTTTTACCTATTTAAGCCTGAACGTCATGTCAGGATCCCAAAGATGGACTAGGGATGGAGGGTCCCTGGGCCTCTTTGTTTCTCTTCCCAATGTGTGGCCACATTAAACCAACCTCTTTCCTCCGCTTTCCATTGTTGTGTCTTTAGTGGTCCTCCGGAAGACCAGAGACCGATCCTGGTTTGTTAGAGTTGACAGCAACTCTATTGGCATTGGAAGATGGGTCTCAGCTCTTGGCCAGTTCCCCCGCCCTCCCAGATATCCCGGGAGCACTCATGGGGAGCACTCTTGGAGCACTTGTGCTGGAAGCCTGTGAGGTCCCCCAGCATGACCCTGAGACCTCTGTCCTTGGTCTCGACACCAGTGATAAGCGACAGCACTGCGTCAGCTACAGGATGTACCCATCACACCCGCCCCACCCCCCCAGCTACCCACTCCTGCCTCCCCTACACAGTTCCAGCTAAGGGTTGATCTATGACAAGGAATCAGTAGCCAACATATTTCATTTGACTATCAGAGAGGGAGAAACGGCTTATTATTTTTAAAGAATGAAGAACACAGAATAGTATTCACATCTTTTATTTCTCAGGCCGAATTTGAGTTCTGAAAGTCAGAGAGGTTGAACTGTGTCGCCAGGCCAGATCCAGCCACAGAACAGTGGGTGGGCCGGGTGGCTCTGGTGCCCAGATGCAGGTGACGGTGCCAAGTCTGGATGCAACCAGCTCTCTCGGACGGACTCTAGAAGGGACAATCCTCTAGAGGGATAAGAGCAGAAAAAAGGCACTCATGAGTGTTCTCTTTCTCTTTAAACAACTGTAGGGAGCTTTGGCTCAGAGTGCCAGTAGGGAAATTCTTCGTGAAATACAAACTGTCAGGCCCGGGGAAATGGCTCCGTTGGCGAAGTGGTCGCCTTGCAAGCAAGAGGATCTGAGTCCAGTGCAAGAAAGGTGCACTGTGGTGCATGCGTGTAATCCCAGGGAAAAGGGTGGATGGCTCCTGAGCAATGATGCCTGAGGTCGACCTCTGGCCTCCACACACATGCATACATGTGCACGAGTGCCTGCATGCACACAAGCACTTGCACAAATGCACACGGAGAAGCTGGCCTGGCATTTTCTTGCCATCCCCTTCACTCCTGCTCAGTGAGCATTCCCCAAGGGTGTGGCTTGGGTTTAGACTTGACAAACCGCCAAGTAAAAGTGGGCCCCTCCATTGCCAGACTCTCAGCCCTGACCAGGATTCCACTCTGTCACAGGCATCCAGGGAACCACCAGTGACACCAAGTCTCATATAGTTCTCCCTACTAAACCCTCGTCCCCTACTATGTTGAGAAGTGACTATACCTTCTAGGGGGCTTTCAATGGCGTGTGGTTTGAAGCACCATGGAACCCCCCGGATAGTGTCATCGAAACAGCAACCTCTTTCCTTGCACTGATGGGGGGTGATACCAGAGAAGCCACAATTTTTCCTGTCTCCGGGAGTCACGGTACATGTTTCTAAAGAGAACACAAAAAGCAGAGGAAAGTCATGGGCTGGATTCCTGAAGTTGTCCACACTCTCAGCAGCTTCCTTCTCTGAGGAAACAGGTCACGGCCTGCTGGGATCCAGGTTTGAATCTGCAACGGGACACGGTCCTCATTTGCAGATGCAGGAAGACTGATGCAGGGGTCAGTTCCAGGGCCCAGGTTTGCACAGCTGCACCTGTTAGGTGATGGCTGTACTGTCCACTTACTAACTTCTGCACCTGGCCAGTGAACTGTATGTGCCTAATAAATACTTACTGAGCAGTGTGCATTCTGGCTACACATAGGAACTGACTTGGCAAAAGCCAGACACTGTGCCCGGTGACAGAATACAGAGATGGAAACAGAGGTCTTGCGGCCCCCTTCCTTTTGTGCCAAGGAGCTGGTGAGCATTCCCTAGGATGTATCTTTGCTTCGGGTTTAACAAACAGCCACGTCAAAGGAAACCCCTTGCCAGGTTTTCAGGTGTGACCCTCCGCCCTACACCTGGATTCAGAGACCAACAGACCCATGGGGGTGTGCGCCACACTGCACAATCATCCCAGTGTGCAGAGAGGATAGGCACAGGGATGGTGGTAGCACTCATGGGGGGGGTAGCAAACGGGGTGGGGGGGTGGGAGGTGGAGTGATGGGGAAGTCCTGTGTATATGTCAATAAAGCACTGTTGGCCAATAGGGAAGCAAGATAGGTGGGACTAGGAGTCCAGGAGGACCCTGGGTAGGAGAAACACAGGGAGTCAAGATGTAGCTGCCATAGGGGTAAGAAGTTCGGAACTTTTCTCCGGTAAGAGGAATACTTAAATTAACAATTATGGAGTAAATACTTAAGTCAGAGCTAGCCAGTAAGAAACAAGCAAGGCCAACAGCTTCATAATTAAATACAGTGTGTTGTGTATTATTTGGGAACTACAACGTGGCAGAGCCCAGGCGACTGGTGGGGAAAAAACCAAAGCGGCTAGCAAGGAAAAGGCTTTCACTCTACAGTGGAGGACCATAAGGCTAAATGAAGCAGAGACAGCTCCTCATTAGAGGAGGCTGACAATAGGTGTCCCGAGCACATATCAGAGTCCGGAGGCCTGGTCATCCATCAGGGCCCACTTCTAGAGCTGTTTTCTTGTGGGGCTCTACTGAACCATTCTCAAAGAACTGGTTCCTGTCTTTTAGGATAAGATAAGGACCTGTCAGCTACTTGCTGGTGGCCTCCAAGGGAGCACCAGCCTCCCAGCTGTGGTTCTATCGGAAAGCTAAGGCGGCCACTGGACACCCAACAGGATGGTCAGGGGTCACAAGGAGCCCTTAAACCGTGGAGAATCAGCAGCCAGGAGAGGAGGGATGTTTCTGCCCACCTGTGGCCTCCAACTCCCTTTCCCAGCAGAGTTTAAAGATCTCTGTCCTGGGCTGGGCGGTGGTGGTGCACGCCTTTAATCCCAGCACTCGGGAGGCAGAGGCAGGCTGATCTCTGTGAGTTTGAGGCCAGGCTGGACCGACAGCTTCCAAAACAATACAGAGAAACCCTGTCTCGTAAAACAAAACAAAACAAAACAAAAAGATCTCTGCCCTGCTCACACATTTGTGCTCACATGAGGGAATTATTGAAAGCCAAGTTCCCTTCAGGATGGGCACAGGCAGCCACTATATCCTAGAATGGATATTTTTACAAAGCTACAGATTCATCTGTATGAAAACAGGGTCATTGACACCATGCGGCCCAGAAACAGATGTTGAGCCCTGGTCTAGGGAATGGGGCAGAGGAAAGCAGGGAGACTATGATGGATGGAACTGGGGGTGCTGGAGAGAACACAGAACAGAAGAGGGAGGTACCCCTCGCCCTTCCCCGTCTACTGCAAAGCCATCTCTACCTCAGGTTCATCCCTGCTGGCTCCTTGCTCCCTGCCACAGGCTGGTGCAGAGGGGTCTAGGCAGTGTCACGGTGCCCTCTCCTTCCTGACCTCCCAACTACCTGCTTCCACTGAAGGGGCACAGAAGGTACTGGAAGATAAGCGGAGTGCTCTTAACTCTTCTCTCGTGCTTGTAGAAATCCTACACTTGGAAACTTTCCCGTTCCCTCTTCCTTGTCTAAGAATCAAGCTCTTCACAGCCAGGGAATGGCGGCTCCCACACGGCTACTGTCGCACGCCTATGCGACACTATTCCCATTCTACAGGTCACAAGGTCCTCCATCCCCAGCAGGGTTGAGGGCCAGATGGATGACACAGGGCTTCAGGAAGGAGTTGGATCCCAGAGCTGGGTGCATCCTAGGGACCCAGGGGCCCACAATATGGGTAGATCTATTGAAGGCCCAGTTACAAGTATTTGGGCAGGGCTACCTGCCGGGGAGAGGCTGGCGAGGCCCTGTGGAAGAGCCAGGCTTCACTTTAAACCACACCGAATGTTGCATTTAGAGTTGAGGCTCTAATAACAGTGCGACATTGACTTCAGCAAGGGAAGGGGGAGCCCCATCACAGAAGCGCCATCCTCCCTGCTCCCTCACAGGCCCCAGGACCTCACTCTACATCCCTGCTTTTGTGACCTTATAAACAGGATAATGGCCTTCAAGGGCCCAGACTAGTGGCTGCACAGAGGAATGCTGGGAATAACAGATCACAACAGTCTCTGGGCCTGGTGTCTACGGTTGTGGTCCCCAGGAAACAAGAGCACTCAACTTACCTGCCTGGTCCTGGGCGAGGCTGCTGAGGGCCAGCATGAGGACCATGGCGAGGACACAGGCCACCTTGTGCTCCATGGCAGCTTCACGGGGAGACCACGAGTGACAGATGAGCCTCTGCCCGGGTTCTCGGCTTTATACTGCTGGCCTGTTTGCCTAGAGCGAGAGAGTTTGCCGAAGGAGGGTCCACGCTGATTAAGATTACAAGGTGTTTCTGAGATGCAGTCACGGGCTGAGAGTGTGATAGCGAAGGCTAGTCCCTCGTAAGACACACCGGGTAGCCAGTGATACACCGGCATGGCCTTGATCCAGACCAGGGTGGTGTCAGTGAAGCCCTGTTTCTGCGTCAACACTGCTTCCTCAGCCAGAGCTGATTCATAGCAAGAGAGCACAAGAAGGGCCTGTCCCAACAACGCCCCTTCCAAGTGATCCAGGAAGAGCCAGTGAGCCCCCATCTGCTGGTCCTACCCATCCAAAGTGGGCACGTGTCACCAGGTCACCAGGGGGCAGGAAGCGTGTGGCTGGACACGATGAGAGGGGGAAATAATGGGCTAGCTCCCCGCTGGCATGGTTCCTTCCACTACAGGGACGATCCTCTAGGCTGCATCTTTTGGCATTCGCTCCATCCTTATTCCTGCATTCGTGAGCAAGGTGTTCTTAGGTCCCTTACTGAGGAAGCCTGCTCAGTGGGGGCCCGTCCCAGGGACATCTCTGGGCCCTGAAAACTCGGCAAGGACACAGAGTCCTCATCAAGGCGCTGCACATGAGTCTTGAGCGCACCTAAGTGATGCCCTTTTTTATAGTATTCTTTCTATGTTCATATTTAAGACTAGAACAGGCACATTGCAGATTCTGTGGCCATAGACTGTTACTCCATTTGCAGTGGAGTCCTTTTAGAAAGGAAAAGAAAAGAAGAGAGAAGAAAAGAAGAGAGAAGAAAAGGAGAGGCGGAAAGGCAATCATATACAAGAGCTAAACGGGAAGCAGACACAGTGTGCTCACCCTGCCGCTCCCTGGCCTCTGGCCTCTGCTCCAGCGCTCCCAAAAGGCATTCCACCTCCTGGTTCATAGGTCTCTAAGAGGGTGCTTTGTCCCCATGCTCCGACTCACCCTCCACCTCTGCCTTCATTATTGATCTCATGATCTAGCGCATGCAGCCACTCCGTATGTCTGCTCATTATTTATAACCCTCCCCTGGACTGGAAGGTTCCTGAGAGCAGGGACTTGGTTTTGTTCTTGGAGTGGCCCAGCTCCAAGACCACAGCTTCAATAGGCCTCACTGGTAGCTGTGAAGACAGGAAGGAAGGAAGGAAGGAAGGAAGGAAGGAAGGAAGGAAGGAAGGAAGGAAGAACCACAGCAGAAGTGCTTTTCCTTTGGTAATAATAGACTAAGGGACCTGCCCCCGGAGTTAGTCCCCAGAGACCCTTGTCGAGGAGAGCATGGGTCAGAATAGAAGCCCCACCCTCTTCTCCTATAACTCCAACTCCAAGGGATCCTATGCCCTCTAATAGCCTCCGAAGGCACCATGCACACACGAGGTATACAGACATACATGTAAACAAAGCATGCACATACATTTAAAAAAAGCTAAATATTTTTAAGTTAAAAAAATCAGTATGGAGTTTCCTCAAAACACTAAAGACAGAACTAGCCTATGACCTAGCCGTACTACTCCTACATGGACCCAAGGAACTTGAAGTCAACCCATCACAGAGACACCTACACATCTGCATTTAATGAAACACTAGAAATAACCACAACACAGAATCAACCATGGTGTCTGTCAATGGATGAGTACGTAAATAAGTAATGGTCATATACACAATAAGGTTTATGTAGTCATAAAAAGGATGATATTTTGCCATATGCAGGAAAATAGAGAAGACTAGAGGTCAATGTAGGCAAAAAGTCGGACTCAGGAGGCTCAAGTTTTCTCCTGTTTGTAAATGCTAGATTTTATAAACATATGTAAAATCACATATATGTAATGTGTATGTAAAAATATGTGGCATTAAGGGGAACAAAGAGGAAGGAGAGGGAAAGAGGGGTGAACACAGTCTAACAGAGGGCACACCTGTATTAGAATGTCTGTGAAACCATAGCTATAAGTGTATGTACGTCCATTTAAAAGTATTAAGTCTTCTGTCATCTTTGGAATGAAAATTTAGTGGAGGACACCATTGATGAGAGATGTCATTCCGAAATCTGTCTCTCTTATTGGTTGCTGAATAAAGCACTGTTGGCCAATAGGGAAGCAAGATAGGTGGGACTAGGAGTCCAGGAGGACTCTGGGAAGGAGAAACACAGGGAGTCACGATGTAGCCGCCATAGAGGTAAGAAGTCCGGACCCTTTCTCCGGTAAGAGAAATACTTAGATTAACAATTATGGGGTAAATACTTAAGTCAGAGATAGCCAGTCAGAAACCAAGCAAACGGCCAACAGCTTCATAATTAATACAGCCTCCTGTATGTTCATTTGGGACTGATGTGGCTCTGGAACCAGGCTGGCGGGAAGACTTCACCCTACACACCATGTTCATAGAAATGAGCCCGGTACAGAAAGACAAACACTACAGGCTCTCACTCACGTGCAGAAGCTGAACAGCTGATCTCACTGTGGCCACCAAGGGCACAGGGGCTGACTAGGGTGTCGGGAGGGAGGGTTGGGGAGAGTGGATGAAGGGCGTGGGGAGCAGTTAGGGGGGAGATTCTTAGACACACACAGTAGGACAGCCATAGCTGATAACAGTTGAGTGGACTGTACTGTTGTTGACATAGAAGGATGACGGTGTCAGGGGACAGACATGATTGATAGAAGGATGACGGTGTCAGGGGACAGACATGATTGATAGAAGGATGACAGTGTCAGGGGACAGAGAGGCCGGTTGCCTCCATCTCATCATTGCGCACGGCTCCCATGCTGGAATGTCACACTGCACCCTGTAAACATGTAAAGTTACCTTGTGGATTTAAAACAAAGCTGTGCAGCTGGGAAGAGAGCAAAGCATGTGCTGTGTAAACATAAGGACCTGGGTCTGGATCTCCAGCACCTTTGTAAACGGCCAAGGCAGAGCTGAGTTCCTCGGCAAGAATGGGAGCCAGGTCCCTAAGATAGGCCGCTAGGTTAGTGGTTCTCAGCCGATGGGTCATGAGCCTCTTTAAGTTTCGAGGGACCCTTTCACAGGGATCGCCCGTGACCATCCATAAACACAGATGTTTATGTTATGATTCATAACAGTAGAAAATTACAATTATGAAGTAGCAACGAAAATAATTTTATGGTTGGGGGTCACCATAACATAAGGAACTGTATTAAACGGTGGCAGCGTTAGGAAGGATAAGAGCCACCGCCCTAGAGTGAGGCTGTGAGGTTGTTTGCAGGTGTCTGCACTGTACTGAAGCCTTGGCCTCCAGCACCTGATACTAAGTGCTCCTTTGAAAACGGATCTTTACAGTTGGTGGAGTTCAGATGGAGGCATAAAGTGGACCTGCATGTTTCCCTGTGAAACAAGAAACCCAGACGCAGACACATATCCTGGGGCTTCACTGAGGCAGCCCCGGGAACCAGCGCAATCTGGATCCCGGTGAAGAAAATCATGCAGACCTTCTGAGACCACCTGAGCTAGCTCTGAGCTGACCCCGTTCTCAGATGCACAGACTCCATCCAGATCTCCCAGAGCGGCTGTGGACGGGAGCTGACGCTGGTCTCACCTCGTGGGCAGTGAGGTTCCCTGTCCTCAGTATTGGAACCCTCCCTTGCAGATGTCGGGGGATTATCATCATTCATGGAGAACCATCATACTACAGAGCTGCATCCAAAGGAACTGGTCACTGAGGCTGAAAACAACCTGAGAGAAAAAATCGAAGACTCGGCACAGGTGTTAGCTGAGGTGGTGAGAGAAGGGAGGTCCGTGGCTCTCTCTGACTCCACTCCCCCGTTAACCCCCGGAGGTGACCCATTAGCTGTCGTCACTTGTGAAAGGGCAGTATTTTACAATGCAGTGCAATAATTTTGCCCTCACCAAAGCAAAAGGAGAGAAGCTACCTTCCTCTCCTGGCAGCTGAGTCAGAAGATGAGATATGGGGGTAGTGTTTGACTTTGGGGGGTTTCCTTGGGCCCACGCCCTACTGATGTGCCTGCACCGAAGCCATTTCCGCACACCTTCCCTGAAGGCAAACACTGACCTGAGGTGAATTGTGAGCTCCTGTAATCTCAGATATCAGCGCTGGTGAGTGGAGCCACCCGTTCCTGCCCAGTGAGTCCTCCTTGCCCCACCCCATAAATCCCAGAGCCTCACTCCTCATGGGCCAATAAGGAGACAGAAGTTGTGCAGGCCTACCTGTGGTAAAATGGGGGACCTCTAAACCCATGTCTCTCCCCTTTGCCTCTTGTCACCCTAGGACTCCAGCTTGACCATGGTCATGTCACAAGGGGGACACCATAATTGTGAAGTGTTGCAGTGGGCGGTGTGGATAGTTCCTCTGCATCCTTCTTCGGGGCTTTTGGTCTTTTCTGTTTTTCTGTGAAATGAGACAATGAAAAGGGATTTCGTGCACCTGCACACACAGTAACACACACACACACACACACACATGGGGGGGGGTGCCGGGGGTTCTGAGGCCAGAACTCCAGGGACTTAGCCTGTCCTCCCACACTCTACAGTAAGACTGGTGTTACGAGGGAGTTGAATGTGGTCCAAATGGGGCCGAGATAATGGGAACATATTCCGCCGAGGACTTCAGGGTCCCTTCCTGGAAACTGATAACAGCAGAGTGACTCATTAGAGGATCAGCAAAAAAATAGGAGGGCTGAAGTGCCCAGTGGACTCTAACTGGTATGTGTAAGACACTCCAGTCAATAACAGCTGAACACGTCTCTCCAAAACAGCCCCTATAGAGATGAGACCACAAGACACAACGTAAACCTCCCAGACTAGTAGAATCAAACTGGGAATTCACAACAAACAACAGGGGTGAGGGGCAGGGTGTCGTCTAAACGTGTGGTTCATTAACCCATCAAGTGAAAAGGGCATTTTAAAAGAAACTTAAAAGTCCATAGAACTAAATAAACATGAAAACATATTTCATTTAAAACTCCTAGGGCTCAGCTGAAGCCGGAGTGGGATAGTGCAATAGTGTTAATACACAACAGAAATGAAG